CCTCAGTGGCGTTCGACGACGGAGGACAGGGGCGCACGGAGGAGGAGAAGGAGGAGGCGGAGGAGTCGAGGAGAAGGTGCGAGGTCAGTGTTCTTCAACGCGGTGACTTTTATATACCCTATATAGAACGACCTTTGATTTAAAGGGTCTGACCGAGCAACCATTGTTTTGCTGAGGATTTCACTCTACGAATCCAAACCAACCTCTTTTTAGTGGTCGTGGAAGGCTAGATAGGGTACACTTAATGAGATTGCCTTCGTCAATCTCAGATTGTGCCTCAAGCAAACCCAAGGCAAGTGACTCACTATATATAATTTCTTCCGCGACCTGACTGGGAAAACCAGCACCTTCCGAACTCGACGTCCCCCGGAATGCCCAGCTTTCCCACGAAGAAGCACATGGATTTCGACACAACGGAGGTGTGAAGGAGTTCACAAGCCTTCATTCAACACCTGCACAATAATGGATCTCCCTCAGTGTCCCTTGAAAAAAGGGGTCCACGTAGACTCAGACAGCGGCATTGTTGCAAGGGAATCAGGTCGACAGAAACGAACGAAACAAAATGTACATGGTGGCATGCAAACCAAAACTAATTACACACACCAGCGTCAAACTCGAAGCTCCAAGTCTTAAGAGGCGTGCCCCAATCCCCCCAAAAAAGTTGGGCAGGTTATCCACTTTTCCTGGGTAGGGAAGGTCCAGGTCCAGGTGTTTCCCGAACGCCTTTGCCGATCCAAGTTGCAAGATGAGTTGACTTCTGGTGATGCTCTCTGCCTTCATTGGCGTCCTGCCCTCCTCAGTTCAAAGCTGAGCATTCAAGGCCACGGGCTCAAACACCTTGAACATTCTCCAGTCGAGCGAAAAGCCAGTGACAAGTCATTGCTTAGATCTTTGATGATTTTTGAAAAGCACCACTCTCAGGAACAAGAAGAAACTACTCAAAAGAATGTAACAAAGTTCCACTCTTGGCTTCAAACTTCCCTGCAGTCTCATGAGAAACCTCCCGCAATCAAAACAAACCTGACCTGATCTTCATCTGTTTCACCGCCGAGTCTCGTCGCAGGGATAGGTATGTGATGCAGGCTGCTTGTGAGCCGGTTCGTGAACGATCACTTGCCCTTTCAGGTCATGCTTTCCTGCGAGCACCAAAGAAGTTAGGACTCCGGACCACGCGAAGCGAAACGTACCCAAACACTCCATGGGACTCCTATGGCAAGACTGCCGATCAGGCCAGGGGTGGTGCCAGGGGGGTCAATGGGGCGGCATCTATGGCAGTCCAATGCAGTCCCATTAGTCGTGTCTGGGGTATGTAAAACCCCAGTTACTACCCCAGTTTCATCGCTCTCAACCGAACGGGAAGAACTCTCAACCGGGCCTGGCCGGTTCCTTCCAAACAAGTCGGCAAACTGATGATTCAATTGCTGATTATTATGTACTGTATATAATAAGAACATGATATGCATGTCCCCTGTGCTTCATGACTTGGAAAACACTCCCTCCGCGCACAAAGACCATGTCCCAATGCAGGACATAGGGGTCTCAAACGTGAACCCCCACATGAGAGGTGTCTCAATCGGCCGCGCGGGGTGGGGAGGTTGAACTTGATCAACTCGTGAGCCTTCTTGGATGTGATCTTGTCTTGAAGCTATTCACTTGGTCTTAGCACATGTAAAAAGCTGCAAAGTGCCTTAGGTTTGGGGATGTCTTTGGGGAGTGGTGTGACTCCGTTTGGCACTGGATTGTTCTGTATATCCCAACAGCCCGGCATCTCCTGCACAAAGCCCCATGAGGTTCTTCTGTAGGCCGCGCTCTTGTGTCGCAGGGCCAGTTGCTCGCGCGCGTTTGGGTCGCGGTTCTGGAGCCAACAGCTTGGATCACACAACATGATCAAACAACTTGTGCCATTGACACTCTTCAAAGACTCACTGTTGATCCTTTTTGGAGGCCCTGGTTAAGATTATCTTATATACCGCTGAGAAAGGTCAAGCTCTACCAAGTGCCACCCGGGTCATGAAGATTATATAGTATTGATCAAGACCCCACTCGGGGTCTAGCGACGGTACACTGGGTTGGACAAATTTGCAAAACACCTTTGGTCAGTCCACTGGCATCACAGAAGCAGGGCTCTGTCACAAGCCTTGATGTACATATACCACCCTCTTCAGAACTCTGGGCCCCAATATGCTTAAATCCCCAAGATAATTTTTGGTCACAGTTTACGCCGGTATTGTGGTGGCATCTCCTAGTCAAGCCATGTCAGCCTCAAGAAACTGAGCAGTCCCAAGACACCTGCCTGGGCAGCATGTGCTTGGTTTAGCCGACCTTTCATCGACCATGCACTGCGAGTAGCATGAGCCTAAGGATTAAGGGCTTAAGACCTAAGATAGCATGTTCTGGATGTTGCTTCAGTCCCGTACCACCTCCGACACCTCGCAGCCTATATCTTTACCAAGTCCACACGCAACAGAGGAACCCACCAGCCACTCTGGGCATCCCTGGCTCGGCATCTCCGCGCGTAGTTGCTCCACCAAATCCTTAGCGACCAAGCGGCCACATCTGAACCGTAGAAGTCCAAGGACTAAGCTTTTGCCTAAGTGATCCTGAGTGAAGTAAGGAAGTTCCCTTTAAAAACTCCTACCAGGACCCTCCTGTAGGGGTGCCCTGTCTGGAAGCCTATAGGTAGAGTGGGGTAGTCCAGCCAGGACACCCCGACAGGAGGGTCCAGGTAGTCAAAGTCTTTGAATAAATAGTCTTTGAGTCTTTGACTCCCCGGGTATATATTTTGTCAGCCTACCGAGAGGTACCGAGAGTCGGTGACACTTCCGGTCCATGTTGTTTTTGGCCAATTCCATCGAAGGTATTTCTGTAGATGGTGTTCAATCTTGTCAGGCAACAAAAACAGTGAGCAAAATGAGATTTCAGGATAAAACAGCTGAGAGGCTGTTTAACAGGCTTCCTGCAGCCCCCTTTGCAGGTGTTGAAAGTGATGACTTCCTCTCAAGGGGTGCCTGTTTGTTTATTACTGTTTTTGGGGTCCAAGAAGGATGCACAACGCGTACTTAGCCAATAAGGCATTGAGATCCATCCATTGAGGAGGTCCTGACGAAGTCATGATCCACCAAACCAATCGCCCCCCAAACCAAACCAATCCCCACTCAGGTCTCCACCCAGGTCGACTGCAGTGTTTGCAGGTCGTCCTGATCTGCTAACCTGGGCCGATCTCCGCCCACGTGGTGCCGATCGCCCGGTGCTGCGAGCAAAACCGCGGATCAGGAGGGTGGGACCTGAGCTCCAAGGCCCTGACCCCCACTGAGCCATGGGCGCTGCAAAAGCCAGGTATCCCCTAGGGATCCAGTCATACCTTTTCAGGTGATTGGAGACTATGTAGGCTTGGAGGGCCCAGTCGTATCTTCTGAGGTTTGGTATGTGGATCCCTAGGGTCTAGAGACCTTCGAATCCTCCCAGAGGATGGGGGCACGCGATCCACGGACTTCGGGTCTCGATGCACTGGCCATGACGGTCGAAAGCCTTCAGTGCCTGGCCGTGATCAACTGTGGGGTGCTCTTCAGCTGAAAGGAAAAGGGGTGAGAAGATGGTTCAGCTCACAAGCACTTCTCCAAACACTCCCAAGAGAGAGGGCGTCCAAAAGCCTGAATGCATCTTGATTCTTACAGACCATACTCAGGTCGTTACATACAGGTACACTGCGACAAACACATCACATGGAACGATGGAAGTGGAAAACCACCCCGCTGGTAAACTGTGATTTGCTTCAAGAGCGGGGGATTCATATACCTGGATCACTACCTGGATCTTCCTCTGTGACAAATTTCTGCCGTTTGGATCCGTTTGGCAGTTGTTTATGAAGTTTATGCACGAAAAGGCGGACATTGTGTCACAGTTGGAAGATCCAGGTATAAAAATCACCCTAAGCGAAAGCCTGGTAAAGGAAAGTCCGTCTTCCAAGAGTACGGTCCATTCACTTCCATGTGAGGAAGTCGGTGCTTGGATGTGTCACCATGTGCCCAAACACGACCGGTACGGACTAGCAGTCCGGACTACCTGGGCGGATGGGGATGCACCCAAATTGGGAAACAATCCACTCACTCCCGACTGAGTGCCCCCCCCAAAACACCTTAATTTTAATGTCAGCCGCGACCTGATAGACTTTAAGCGACCCTATTGAAGCATGGTTGACCAGTTCAAAAGGGGAGCCAATTGGAGGGTAGGCCTGTCCCCCTGGAAGAGTTCAATCAAGTTGTCTGGCATCACGAAAAAACAGGAGAAAACACCACGCCGCCAACATATGCGGTGTGTGCACCAGATCTGCCTTCACTGCACTAAAACACCAAATGTCGGCCATAGTTGCGTAATGTTGCGTACATGGGGCATCTGGCAGAGCAAAAAACCCAAATATCTGAGCCTAATTACAAAAAAAAAAACCACGAACCCAGCACCACCCGGTTCGGGGCGGTTATTCGATGGAACATGCATCTTCCCCAAAAAAACCACCCGACCGACCTGGGTGGTGCTGGTCAGTTCATGTAGCTGTCGTTGTTCAACGGAGTCGGTCGGTGTCAAGAACACCGTCCTATGCGGTGAACGTCCTCCATGCCTCACACGTCCCAGCTGATCAGCTCGCCAGCTCAGCTCAGCCGACCCAAATGGCTTTTTTGGATGAACTGCTCCACCTCACTTTCAAGTCTTTGCATCACTCTAAGAATCTAGGTGCATTCAGGGCGGCCCCCAGGCAAGCATACTCTGGGATTTTGGCAACTGTGAAGCCGAAGTCTGTGAAGATTTACACTGCTGACTATATAGGTAAAAACTACTCCTATAGTGGTGATCCATTTTCATCAGCTCTCATGGGGCCACCCATTCGTCTTTCCTCCATGCAAGCTGTGCATTGAACCCGCGCGCACGGGTCAACCCGTAGCCACGACGCAAGAGACAGCCGCCACCGGTGCGCACGGCACGGCGCCGTGAGGGCCGTGAGGTGGCTAGGCATAGACATAGCCGTTGAAGAACGCACTGGCCGCTCGGCTCACATCACCTTGGCATCGGCTCAGTAGACCTGAGCCCATCGCGGAACGGAATGGCACGAAACGCGGCTCCATGGGACATCACTTAGGGTGGTTGACCTAGGGCAGATGGGACAGGCATTTGCTTTGCCATAGTATGAAGTGCCTGAGGTATGGAGTACACTGTGGTATAGAGTATACTGGTTCAATGACCGGAACTCGATGAATATGCCAATTTTATGGGATGTTCTGGGCATTTGTCTTCTCTGGTCCAGTGGCCCCAAAGTCTTGTCCCAGTTGGATCAAAACCAACACCCATCCTGCCCCCCGTTGGTACATGTTGGTACTCAAAATGCTTCGACTTGGTTGACTCGGTTCCTGGAACCTGCAAACTCACCACCACAGAGTAAAACCAAAACCCATCCCCCAAAAAAGGTTCGGAACACCACTTGAAGACCGCTCGACCGTCCACTTCCACTTCACTCGGAGCGTGCTCCCCTCCTGCACCCCACGAAGAAAAGAGGTAGCAAGGGAGGTAGCTTAGCAAGTGACTGTAAATAGTCACCTGGGATACCGAACTGGTAGAGTCGAACAGTTGGGTTCTGACCCACCTCGGAAGGGCCTCCACACTTCCCGGCCGAAGCGCCCGAGAGCGTTTCCTCGGAGGGTTTGGGGCCCACCTTCCGTCGAAGCCGCCTCAGGGCATCCTCGGTGACCGCCATGGGTTGGGAACCAGCACGGAGTTGAAGAACAATCCGCGGTGAAAGCCGACTTAACCCTGGAAGTCCAAGTAAGACTAGGGTTAAAAAATGGGAACGATCTGGTGACTTGCATAAAACCCTTAGTGAAACAGCTCGGTGGTTCGGGATGACCCGGCCATTAAAACGGTGGGCCACGACTTCTAGGGGACTGTACAGGTTAAGTGACCCCAGGTGAATCCCGCAGGTTTTACCAGGTCCTATTTATAAACGGTCACTTCACAATGCTGACGAAGGGCGCCCAGGCCCGTCTCGACTGGAACCAGAGCCGTCCCTAAGGCCTGATGGATCACCGAACTTTCCATGAAACCCCCAATCCATTAGTGGATGATGGTTAGTAGAGGCCTTGTCCAAAAATAGTGATACCGTAATTGTTTACTGACTGTTACAGGTATTAGGACAAACCCAACCAATCCTTTCGTTCGGGTTTGGGTAGCTGATCCAGGGACTTCCTGGGTAGGTCATCGGAAAAGTCAACGATCGAAACATCTCACAAATGGTTGTTCCGTGGCTACCGGTGACGTTCTCCACTTGAATGGTCTTCATTCAAAGCACCATAGGTGGCGCAAAAAGAGGGTGGTTTTCATTCATTGTTGAAGCTTGTGACCAAAACAACAGCGCATAACGCTCTTCCAGGTGAAGCATATGAGACACATCCGAAGTGGTTGTAGATCTCATCTCTTATCGGATTCAAGGTTTTGGAAGATCAGTGAGCCACAAGCTGCATTCCACACTTTGCCTCTTGAATCTGCATCGTAAATCTGAGAGGGTGATGGTGATTCAGGACTTGCCTCTCGCGCCATCTCCTTCGAGGTTGAAAACCCTCGGTGGTTTCGTAGAACATAGATCCCCTACCCATACACTCCATGGGACTGGCATATATGCCGCCCCATTGACCCCCAAAACCACCCCAACTGATCGGCAGTCCTATGCCAGTCACGTCAACAGCTTGGGTTCTGCTGGTCACTGTGGCGGCGCGGACCGACGAGCCTAAGCCTAGGCAGCAAAAAGCCCTGAAATGGACGAACAAACCTCGGCATGGACAGAATAGCTGTATATCCCATTCCGTGGATGATGGCTAGATTGCAGTCCTATCTTTGATCGACTGTTGCAGGTCATGGGACACACCCAAACTTGAGTCTCCCCCATGTCTCAGTCCCTGAAAATCGAGTCGCGGCCCTTTGTTGCTTGGCCATCTCTGCTTGTCTCTGCTCTGCTAAGGCCCGCATCTGCTCCCTTAAGGACCTCTTCGATTCGGATGTGTCGGCATCTCTCCCATCCTGAGGCCGTCGTGTGTAGAAAGGCTTCCACACATGAACCCAGTGGATGCAAGGAATGCAAGTTCATGGGTGGAAGTTCCTCTCCTACCTATAGGTGGACTTCTTAATGTCCATGGAGAATAGGTCGGCCTTTTTCCACCTATGGGATTTGAGTGGGATGCCCGCATCCTCTGGGTAGGTTAAGGTGCACATAAAACCACACTCATATGTGGAACCAAGGTGGTTAGGTTTGCATGCCTTTCTCCCCTTTTTCTCACCAAAAGACACACGATGAACATCCTTTACTGACGGCGATGCCGGTTCACTGGGACACGCCCTACCTACAGAGGTTAAGTGACCTTATAGGACCCTACAGGGGTACCTATAGGATAGTCTATAGGGTTCTTCAACCTCTGCTGGTGTAGATCTTGGGCCTATCCTAGAACCAGGGCCCAGTGGATGATGCTTAGATGGCAGGCCTTGCTCCAACAGAGTGAGAAGACCTTTTACCGGCTTCAAACCATTCATTTTAATAGGCTGAATCCCGAATCAACTGAGGATGTTACACTACAGTAGGCGGTCAACCATTTTCTCATTTGGCCTTGGAAGTCTAGGGTTTACCGACTGTTACAGGTAAATTGAACCCTGCCACCAAATCGTGCTTCAATGGCGGCCGCCAGGCCTTGATTGACTTGATTCGCAAAAACAAGACCTGGGGCTATTGGGGACCTGTTGGTCTTGAGGAAACGGATTGGTTAAAGGGAACATCCACAGGACAGCCCATGGTTTGGAGGCCCAAAACTAAGAGTGTCCGGAAGATGTTCCCTTGATTAATAGTGGATTGCAAGTTACCCAATGTAGGTGTTTATATATGGACCCCCATCCGTTCAGGACATCTTGGGGGAAACGTGCCATCGAACCTTTGAAGACCCTTGATTACGCCATCTTAAACCCACTGCTGGGACTGGGTTCCAGGGCGAACACCGGATCTCTCCGGGACAACACAGCAACCCGTCGACTGCCAGAATTCTGCCTCAGATCTAGCTGGAGTTCAAACGAATGCAAAGGCATACCAGGGGTTTGCGGTGCCATGGGGGTGGTGAAGAAGACACCCATGTTCACCTCTAAGAAGCGAATAGAACTTGGACACCCCGAGTGGCCGGGGTGGAGGGCTGGAGCACAACATAGGAATCCATCATGAGGGTAACATCTAGTATCGTTTGCTTGTGATCATGAGGGTCATTCCATGTCATTCCCATCATACCCACCCAGAATTCCAAGCACAGCCAAGGCAAGTCTTGATCATGGAAACTTGTCATGGCTGCGGGTGGCACCAAAATACTTTCGGCACGACCGCCCTCCTGGTGTTGTTCAAACCAAAAAGGTGGGAAGGTTGAAGGACCCATCCCCATCCCATGGTGAAGCATCCGACGTTTGACTCTCTGCCTCCAGGTCATTTGCGTTGGTGCTGCGCGGGCACTCGGGCCGCGGTGCGGGTAACTCCGGCAACGCGCACGCAGCCGGCAACGCGCAGGTTGGTGTGGTGTCCAGCTGGTTGAAGAAGCGTTCCAGGGCAAAATCTTCGGTGTGGACCAGCTCCAAGATCTTTTGGCCTTCTTCCTTGGTTTGCTTTGGTCGAAGATGGAGAGGGGGAGTACGGAGTATGTTGCATGTATTCTTTGGATTTCTTGGGGCGAAAGGCCAGCCCCCCTCACGTTCATAAGTTGCAAGAATTGAAAGAAACATATAGCTTTTCATATGTACGAGTTCGCGCGATTTCATGTGTGGTTATGCAAGATCTAAGCTGATCCAAGCATCTTTCGCTTCCAAGGTCTCCTTTGTGAGCCTTTTCTCAGCTCCCTCGGCTCCCGTGGCGCCATCGACCGGCGGCCTCTGCTGGAGCAAGCTTTTACCGTCCACCTCTTCCACCATGGAGCTCTCATGGAAGGAACTGCCCACTGAGTCAGCATCCTCATCTTCTCCATCAAGGACCTCAAGAGCTGGTGAAGTGGCCCTCCACTGCGCGCTCGAAAAAGATCGAAGTGGATGGCATGGCTTTGAGTTCGCATGACCAGTTTCCGAAGACCAAACAGTGTGGTTTTCTCTCCACGTCTGATTTCGGAGAGTGTAGCTCACCCCCAAAAGCTGAAGAACCAGCAGAGGTTGAAGAACCCTATACTATCCTTTAGGTACTCCTGTAGGGTCCTATTTACGGTCACTGGCTACCTCTGTAGGAACTTGTGGTCGCTCCAGTTCAACACCGGAGCCCCCGAGGAGGACGAAATCGAAGCAATTGCCAGGCACCCTCGGCGTGTCCAAGAACCGCTGAAAGGAAAGAACATCAACCAGCAGTCACAAAGCTCGGGGTGGTGTGGCTCGTCCCATCCAGTGAGTGGATGTGCTCTGGGCACCCCGACTACCTCCATGGATAGCACCCGTCTTGTGAGGGCTGGAACAAGAACATGCACAACATCACAAACACCCCCAAACAGACGACAACTCTTCCGTATATACACCAGGTAACTTGAGATGATGTTGATGTGGCTCCCAAAGCTGAAGCTCCCGTCGTTGCAAAGGGCATCACCTCAACCTTGCTGTGCTCGACCAGCGTCTCGCGCAGGGCTTCCGCAGTGGCGCGCGCCGCACGCTGCTCCTCCAGCTGCTCTTGTTGCTTCCGGCGCTCTTCAGACAACTTCCTCTCAAATGGATGGCCATTCAGAGTCCGATTGAAGTGACTGAAGCTGTTTTAGAAAGACATGGACTTGGAGCTCACTTCCGGTTGGGCTTCTGGATTCCAATGTTCAGTTTTCCTCTCTAGGCGGATATAACATCAGCAGCGTGAAGTGGCTGCAACGCATTGATTCAAGGGCTACTTGCAATTGTTGTATTGCTTAGGACCTATAGGGATTTAGTTGTGGGATTTGCTTCCTCTGCACTCTGTAACATTTGTTTCGTCTTGCGGGATTCCACCTGGCATAGTCGGTTGCCCTGATGCCCTGATTTGACAGGGAACGCCTCTCCCCAGCAGCTCTCCTCATCTCCTCTCTCAACGCTTCAGTCTGAGGCTTTTGTCGTTCTTGCTTCTCGGCCTCAAGCGCGGCACGGCAGCGGCAAATGGATCACCGACTCAAAGACGGCTAACTTGGATTCGCAAACATCTTCCCCATGCCAGGGGATTCACTCAGAAGGAAGATCATATCAATAAACTAAGCAAAGCCAAGCTAAAAACACCAGCAGAACGTGAAGTTTGCTGGCTCACCTAGTTAATTCGTTTTCAGGCAGGGGGACCAACCTGTACAAACCGCATCTCCAAAGCCAAAGCCAGCCATTCTGGGAGTCCAGTCAACTATTTATTTAACAAATAGACCAATAGCATTTAGATATTCATTCACCAGCAGTCACAATTCATTCACCAGCAGTCACAAAGGGGTGGTGTTTACTCCAATCCAATGAGTGGATGTGTTCTGGGCACCCCGACGACCTCCATGGATAGCTCCCCGTCTTGTAACTGCTGGTAGATGGTATATTAAACAACTCGAAGTGACTCGAAGTGACTCGACGAATCGGCCTTGACTCGATGTCTTGGTCAGTCCGGGACCTGGTCCTTCCCGACCGAGTCAGGGGCGTCTTCGGATTGGTCCATCCGTTCCTCCGCGTTCCTCCCGAGTGCTGAGCGTTCCGAGAGAAAACCACTGAGTACCAGCAGAGGTGGGTCAGAACCCGACGCCCTTCGACTATCCCAGGCCAGGGTACCCCAGGTGACGGGTCCTAGTTCAGGTCACTTAACCTCTGTTGGTAGATCCCGTTTTTCATGGACATCTTGGAGGAACAGATGGAAGCCCCGACTCCTCCATCACCTCTAAGTTCCTCTGTTAAGGTGATGTCGCGGAAGGCTTTTCACCTATACTTCTCGGACGCCCACGGGTCGACGGGTCGTTTCTTCACCCGTCCCCCCGGGGTTTTTCACCTCACTCCTCCGACGTCGTCCTTGGGCACCTCCCGGAGGCGTTGCTTCAGTCGATGCTTGTAGTGGCCTTGGAGGCAGCGAGGGGACGATGTCACTGTCGATGGCCCTTTGGGATCCTTTTGGTTCGGTACCATGTTTGCACCCCCGTGACGGGGAAGGGGGAGGTGCGCCGCGAACTCGAGCGCAAGTGGTGTGTGTGGTTGCCATGTTTGCATGTCTTTTCCCTAGACTTCCAAGACCATTTAAAAAATGGTTGACCTGGTTTTTGTAGTGTAAAATCCCTAGTTGATTTCATAAAGCCTATTAAATTAATGGTTGTTGGAAGCCTAGGGTTTTGACCTGCTGATTGTGGTCTCCCCTTCTTATGGAGTCTAACCAACCAAGGACCAAAGGCCCCATCCACCCCGCTTTCTCGGGTCCTTCTGGTCCCAATCGACCCTACAAAACTCACCTGGACAATGACAACCTGTCCACGTAAAGTGTACAAAAATGTTCGCCTTTTAATCTTAGTCTTCATTTTCCAGGGAAACTGAGGGATTCAGTTCCCGTCCCTTTCGTTGCCACGCGAGGCAAGGGCAAATGCTGACTCATAACATCTCATAACTATAACTATATCGGGTTATTCACGGTTATTCTAGTGTTCAGTCACCAGTCCCGAACTTCTTGGTTCATGTCGGGAGGGTAGGTCTCCACGCGTGTCTCCGGTCCAAGCTTCGATATCGACGCAGGATGACTCTTGCAGCCTGCCGTTGGAGGTGTTCCTCCACTGCCTGCTTCATGTGATCAAGGAGGAAGTTGATGGATTTCAGGTCCTGAGATTGAGATTGAAAAGGCTTTCAGCAAACAAATGATTTGTTGGGACCCCTCCCCTCCCCTTCCCCAAACTGGATGTGGAGAACACCTCTACATGGTAATTAGTTAAAGGGAAATGAACAGGGTACATGTTCAGCAGGGTGTGCACCTCTTTGACTCTATGGTGATTAGGGTAAATTGGCTCATGTTCAAGGTGCATAGTAGCGCAAAACTGGTGGACGTCCAGGGCCCGTGACACATCAGCGAAGCGGTTTCTACATGTTTCTATGGATTCAAACACATGGGGTCCCTCAGTGACCTGACGATCCTTGAGTTCAGAATTCCTGTGACCACCAGGGAAGAAGGCCGCCCGGCTTCCACCAGGAAACACCTCAAGATGGGAAGAAAGACCCAGCGTCATCCTAGAAGTCCAGTTCGACACTTTTCTGGCTCGGGCACTACCAAAGGTCTCAGGAAGTTCCGAACTTCACCTGGCCTCCACAAATGGAGGAGGGATTGACATGGATTCCAAGTGCCAAGCCACCTGGACCTTGGCGATGTGCCATGCCCCGGACTTGGAGGACTCCAAGTGTTGCTTGGCCAAGGCCGCCCGCCGCAGCTGCACCTTCCTCATGTGCACATGACATGTGCGTGTGGGTGCGGAGGTCGTTGACACATGTTTGGTGGGAGAAGCAATCCAGCGAACCAAGGGGGTTCCTGGATTTTGGCATCTTTTTCCCACACACACACACACAAACACATTGTGTTCTTCTGCTTTCTGCAACTGCATGACAACTTGCCCCAGTGATATCACAGACTGAGATCGCATCTTGATGCATCTTGAACATTCGTGAATCCAGAATCTATAGTATAGCAATGGGGGAGTACAATATATACAGTCCGTATCAGTCCGATCAGAGATGGCACAAAAACGCTGTGCTCTGCGTTGACGGGAGGTTCACCTGGCCGTTCACTCGAAGGGGCCTGGCCTGGAGGTGGTCCAGGACCACCTTCAAATGAACAGAAGGGACTGGGGAGGTCAACCTTCCAGGGCTTCGGGCTTAACCACAAAACCAGGCTCAGACAACTCCCTAGGGATCCAGGTACCTTCTCAGAAGGTGATTGGAGGCACTGTTGTGTAGGTTTGGAGGGTCCAAGTACCTTCTGAGAAGGTACTTGGATCCCTAGGGACTGGGCATGATGAATCATTCCAACTCACTCCAAAGTGGTGCCTGTTCGGGGTCTGGGGTCTGTTCGGGGCTGTTTTCACGGAGCGTCGGCGTTCCGCGTTCGGATCTGCCGCCGGGTGTCCAGCTCTGCACACTGGGACAATGGACCTCCGGCGTGTCAGAGGCCTGCGCCGCGTGTTCTCGAGCCAGCTCTGAGGCGTGTTGAGAGGTGGAAAGGGCACCAAAGCTCCATCGTCCTGCTTGGGCATGCAGGATCTGGATCAACATCATATCATACTACCAGTGCCCGACTGGACAGGTACACCTGCCATTTTCTCCATTTCAGCCACCATTTCGGAGACCTGTAGAGTCGGCAGGTACCGCTGGAAGTGCCTGAAGATGCTTGAGGTGCCTCTGATATATAGCATATTCCTACCAAGTGGATCAAATAGGAATCTTGCTATTTGCTGTTGAATCTCGGCCCATCCTCCAGCAAAAAAAACCAATGCAATCGAACAGGACGTGACCGTCGCGACCGTTGTATTCATCCAACAAACCCACGTGACCGTTCGGATCCTTCGGATGGAGGTGCTTCGTTTTTTGCCATGCGCCCACTCCGGCTCAGACCCACGAGGCTTTGGGGGTGGTTTCTATGTGGGAACCAAAACATCATCAAAACTGTAGATATTCAACCTGTTTTTTGGGGTTTCAACACTCCCTGGAATCATGGATGTGGAAAACCACTTATTTGTACAGGAACGTTGTCATACAAGGCTTCAATTCCCGGGAATGTAAAGCAAACTCAGTTCAAACTCCTCACCGGTAGGTAGGTCAGGCCATCTAATGGTCAGTAGGTGAACCCCATCATGAACCCCATAATGACCCCATCATCTATAGTCAGTATAGGTTAGGTCATCGAATGACCCCCTTCTCCATCCCACCACCAGCAGAGGTTGAAGAACCCTATAGACTATCCTATAGGTACCCCTGTAGGGTCCTATAAGGTCACTTAACCTCTGTAGGCACCGCCTTGGATTTCTTCCTCTTCTCCGTCTTCCGCTGACTGCGCCGCGGCAGCACGTCGGACACCTCGCGCACCTCGCGCATGCTCGGCGCCGGCGAGTTGGGGAGGCGAGGCGATTGTGGGCCGCCACCGGCGGAGGGTGCCATGCCGTGGCATGGCCCCCCCTGTTGACTGCTGCATTAGGGACTCGAATTGGTTTTACTCAAACACTCATGGACCCGGAGACCCTCTGGATACGAACCAATTCCTCGGTTCGCTTTGGTGCCTCGGGCTGTGTTCACGGAGCGGGTAGATGGGCTGTGCGGGTTCCACCCAGGACCCATCGAGCGGAAGTTCAGCCGGTTTTGAAGTGCAACATCCTTTACATGAGTCCAAGACCCTTCATTTAACCTACAGACATCTACAGACATCTACAGACCCATATAGTCAATCAGGTGTTCCGAAGAACAGGAATTGTCTTTAGTTTTGCCAAGGTGCCCCAAAGAGCCGAATCTAGGATCTTGTAGGGGAATACATGCGGTCCGTTCAAGCTGGGGCCATCCTGATGCGGATGCGATCCTAAACCCACCTTGGTCAAAGTTCCACACGGGCGACAGACGAGCGTTTGGAACTGCGAGCGGTTACAAAGCACACTGGAGAAAGTGGTAGTAGCACCACACTGGCATGTTTATAGTAATTACAGTAATTGGATTGGAGGTCATTGGGCACATCTGTACGACCCTCCTGTCAGGGTGTCCTACTCCACACTACCTAGTTGGGCTTCCAAACAGGGCACCCCTTAGAGGAGGGTCCTGGTACTCGATCACACTTAGGAGAATGCGAAATCTCGGAGGTCGCCCGTCTCGGAGATACATGGGCATAGTGTTGAGTAATTATCCTTGGGACACTCACTGATGATCCTGGTAGTTCGTTCATCATTGGCACTTCCAACCAACAGAGGTTGAAGGAGCCTAGTTCGCCGATCCGGTACCCCAGGTTTGGCAGGTCCTAGTTACGGTCACTGGCTAGCTCTCTTGGAAGGAGTGAGAGCCCTCTCTCACACCCAGTCCATCAAAAGACCCGAAGCCCACCACATCCATCGGATCCGCCTGGATGCCCGGGTGCTCCTCCTCCGCGGCAGGATCTTCCTCGCACGCGTAAATGTGGTGACTAAGAGCCCATTGGAGCAGCAAGGGTTTCCTTGCGGAGCCTTGGGTGCTAAAAGGTGTCATGGGTCTCAATTGGTAACCTGCCAGAGGTTGAAGGACCGGTCCCCCAGCAAACCTATATAGGGGACCGGATCGCCTATAGCCTAGTCCGAACTGTCGGGTTCTGACCCACCTCGGGTGTAGAGTCGGGCTCTGGTTGATTGATTGCGGTGCTGGGGGATGCCTTCAGACCCGGATCCAGCTGCCGGTCCGGCGCTTCGAGGCTAGGCCGTTCGCGGGATGATGTGCATCCACGAACGGAGCTGGGCTGAAGAAGAGCGGAGGATGGGAAGCTGGTGGAAGCTGGGAAGATCAGATGCAGAACATAGAACATATAGTCCATCATTGTCCCATATGTTCCAGCGGGATTCACCCGAAACCTGGAAGTTTCAAACATCGGCCCGAAATTTTTGGAGGAAAACCGGTCCCGGACGTTCCAAGTTGCAGCAGCCATGACCATGCGCATCCGCAAGAGGTCCTTGGCTCATGCATCACTCCCAAACTTCAAACCCACCTACTATGCAAGTTACAGTACCAGAAGTCACAAAGGGGTGGTGTTTAGTCCCATCCAGTGAGTGGATGTTCTGGGCACCCCGACTACCTCCATGGATAGCACCCCGTCTTGTGACTGCTGGTGCATAGATTTAACGCAAGTAACACTTCCATGAATGGAGGGTCTAGGACTGGCAGGCTGGTTCACCGCCCCGGAGGTGGAAGTTCCCCCGACATCATGCATGGTGGTCCATGCCAGTCGTCCAAAGGTCTGCTTCGCAGTTCGTCCGACAAGCTACCCAAAGGTCCTAGACAACAAGGCAGCCATTTTTGTCCTGTGAGGGTTGGGATTGATGATTAGACACCAAACCAAACCCAACCCTCACTGTTACCCAGACGCTCCATGTATGCCATATATGCCTACATTGGGGTGGTTTGGGGGGTCAATGTAGGCATATATGGCATACATGGAGTGTATGGGTTATAGTGGTCCAGCAGCCCGAACTGACAGACCTCTTTCAAGACCTTCGAGGTTCTTCACATTTTCCAAACGCTCCACGGGACATGGGACCGCATGGACTATGCCATTCTATGCCTATTTGACCCCTGAAATCAGCCCAATCCAGGCAAAATACACTCTGACGAACACATCACATGGAAGTGGATGGCATGGTCCCTTCAAAGACGACTTTCTACCAACAGGGGATCTCCACTTCCATGTCAGTGAGTCAGAGTGTATAGTCAGTCCTTGGCGGAGAAACATTTGCGTCCCCGCATCGACCCAACCCACGTTTTTTTTGGGCAAAGCACCACTGAGCGGCGAGGGAGGGCGTCTTGGATTTGCTGATTCAGCACCGGTACAAATCTGGGAAGGGGGATTCCTGTCATATACCTTAAGGATCAAGGACCCTGAAAGGTCCAGGTTTTGAGGGCCCAAACCTCTGCCATACATGCCCTACAGTGGGATCCTTAGGAGGGTGGGGAAAGTCAACATGTCCCGATCCGCAACACCCGGTTTTGCCCACGTCTTCCTCTCCAAGCATCCGACACCTGATAGACCTTCTCCTCCGAATTCGGCTCACACATGCCCGCGAGCTGTCGACTTCTAGCCTTGGGGTGGGTGGTTTTGCCCGGTGCGAGTTGTCCGAGGGGGGCAAGGCGCAAAAGCGGTTGGAACTGCATTGGTTTTTGGGGGTGGTGAACGCCGGCCATATGCCACCATGGCCCTTTGGGTGTGGCCATTTGGCACCTTTATTTGGGGGGAGCTGCCCTGAGTGATACAGGTGAGAGACACAAACTGGGTTTCTTTTGCAGAGAAGAGCGCCGTAATGAGAGGTAGAAGTGATGGGCACTCTGACATACTTGATTGCTTTCTAGTCATCCAAATTCACTATAGATCATGCAATCAGGGGCATCATTATCTATCTGATCTAATAATCTATCGCTGCCAAAACTGCATCCCTGACGCCGGGCGCCCCACCAGTCTGCTTGGCCAAGCCACCGGCATACCGCCCACAGAGTTGGAGAGCACAGCGGGCCCAGTGGGCCTTGGAAAACTCTCGCGTTTGAGCGTCGCACCGTCGAAAGTTTGTGGTGGGTGCCAAAACGTCGGGTCCAGTCATACCGAACCTGAGGAGGTACGACTGGAGCCCTATAGGGTCTTGCTTCTTTCGATTTTGCGCCAAACCACCAGATCCAGGAGCTCCATCAGGGGTGCTTTTGGAGTCCCATCAGTGAAACTCCCAAGTTCAGCACCCCCACCTGGAGCCGCAGCGTGTTTCCAGGGGGCCTTTTCGGATCCGTTTTCGTGACCGAACCTCAGGTTCGGTACGACTGGACCCGACGTTTTGTCACCACAGTATCTCCAATCACCGCACCTGAGAAGGTACTTGGATCCCTAGGGTTTTGATGTATCTGACAGGTTTCAATGGTTCCACCTGAATGCGGGCCGTGGAGAGGGGACCTCCACGATCTGGCAGTGAGGGTGCTGGTAGACATTCCACATCCACATACGACAACCCCCAGCTATGGATGCTGACCAGTAGAGATTACAACCAGTAACGGGATGTTCAACCTGAGATCCTCGGCTACCTTCTCAGAAGCTACGACCTCCAAGCAGCGACATAAACGTGTCGAATACATCACTCTCGAAGGAGATGTGGATCCGGTTGGCATGGCACCGTCTTGTGTCTTCAAACCAACCTGAAGCGGGTTTTCATGAACCCCCAGGTTTCAATGTCGAAACTCACGTGGTAATCAATGCTCATTTGATAGATCGTTTTCAACTCGCGTAGCTCTGTTCCAGGGCGTAGTCCTGCTCTTCTTTGCCCTGGCCTCTCATGTCTTGGAGCGCTCCCGCATGGGAGTCCCACACCCCGAAAACCCACCACCGAGGCGCAACTCTTCCGTCGGACGTGGGACGCCGTGAACGGATGCCGTGACCGCGTGGAGTGTCGGCCTGGACGTCGAAAGAATGGACGGTGGAAAAAGGCGTCCATTTCGCCTGGTGCTCCTGTGATGACGAAGTAGTTGGACTCCGAAGAGCGGTAAAATGTGTCACTGGAAGTTCTGGGAGGTTGTGGACAATGAGTTATGATAGTTGTGATAGAGAGAGGGAGAGACACACAACGATCAAAACCATTGGGAATAAACCCGTCACAGGAGATACGAGTAGCATAGGAGCACCCTCTGTCCAATCATGGGAAGAAATGGCCTCCACTTCCATGTTGGGATGCTGTGGCCCCCCAAGGGTGATCTCGATTCCCAAGTGTCAATTGCATGAAGATACACATGCCCCTTTACCTCAATAAGTAGTGCTCTTGAATGAACAATTGCAGGACAATGAGGTCTTTGACCTGTAGGGAGAACCGCTGCATTGCAGGATGGGATGGTTTCGATGATTTTGTCTTTGAGCCAACAATGCGTGCACACCGGCGGGCGCCCTCCAACCACGGTGTTGCCTGCTACAAGTTTTGGAGGTGGCTGAGGAAAAATATAAGCCCGTCATAAGGAAACACATGGACCACAAGCGGCCAAATCGAGTTTTGGACTCTACTACTGCCCTACTTTTCGAACCACCACCAAAAGCACGCACCGCGTTTGGGCGTTCTTATTCCAAGATGCTCTTGGGATATTTGCACCTCTGCCCTCATCTCAAGAGCTCCTGGCCCAGGCAAATTGCACTCTGGTGGCTTTTCAGTGCGCAGCGGGGTCGGGCGTTCTGGTGCCCGGCCCGGTGCTTCTGGACGCCTTGGCTCATGTGGCTCGGATCGAGGGGGTGCTCGTGCAGCTGGGCCCGGCTGCGCTCGGCCCAATGGTTCCACCGGTGAGCCCGGTGCTTGGAGCCTGGGCCCGCCCAAGGCGGGACCTGCAGGAGCTGCAGGTCCAGGTGCTGGGCACGGCGCCACCCAGGGCGGGTAAGCACGCCGGGGAGGGCCGGAGGCAGCTGGAGGGCTTCTGGTCTTGTCCATTTTGGGGGGTAGGTGTTCAGTGGCTGGATCTGGCCCGGGCTTCGGATCGCTCTCTTCCCCCAACCTGCCGCGTTCGGTGTGCGAAGGTGCGTTTGGGCGGCTTTTTAGTGGGGCAAGGAGGGGGGAGATGTGGGCAAAGATTCGCGTGAGCTGGCTGCAGTCATCTGCAAATCATGTTATAATGTCTTTGCTTGGGAGGATCTGGTGCGGGATTTAGTATATTGCCTTACACCTCCAGTCGTACCTCTTCAGAAGGTATGACTGGACCATCCTGGAGGGGTTCTTGGAGGCCTAGGGTTCAATACTCTGTCAGGATGCGTCAGGCCTTCGAAGCTTGAAAGGTGACCCAGACGCGACGAATGGGACTGCCATAGGACTGCCGCCCCATTGACCCCTGAAGCCTGAAACCATCCCAACTGATCGCCATCTATGGCAGTCCCGTGGAGCGTCTGGGTAACAGTGAGTGTGTTCCTCAGAATCCTTCTGCTCTTCTTGTGCTCAAGGGTCTTGTTTGCGTCGCGTCTGGAGCGTCCTGGACATCCAGTTCCATTAAATGGGGCGTCCTGGAAAGCTCCTGAAAAAATATGAAAAAATCCCCCTCCCAAAAACAGAAACACAGGAGTTAACACCTACAGTTTCAAATCCCCAACATGTCCCTACCATCCATGCACTTTGGGTGATAAAAAAAAAAAAACATGCACTTCGGAGGGCTCAATGAGGCTCAACGGACCCTCCCGACTCCTGACCGCTTCGCGTCGGGCACCGGAAGGCTCGGGGGGCGGAACGGAACTCGAAGAAGTGAGACCGGCCCTCTGAATCACTGAACCGACGGTAGCCGACCGAACGACTAGGACCCGGTTTCAACCAGGAGTACCTATATACCCGGCTGAAGTTCGACTATATATTGACCGGCCGAAGTAAAGGAAGTTCCCGAACTCAGGTCCCCTAGTCAGACCATTCTTTTGATAGTCTGACCGACTCCCAGGGTATATATAGGATAGTAGTCGAACAGTCAGGTTCTGACCCACCTCTGCTGGAATCACCCACCCATTTGCATTGTTCTTCATGGTCATCATGTGTGAAGAACGTAGCAGTCACGTGAGGAAAGGGGTGCGGACTCCATGGAGGTAGGAGTTGGGTGCCCCTGTCACATCCACTGACTTTTGGATGCGCGCTCAAGCGGTTCAAGTCCAAGCCACCGATCTCCTTCCATCTCCGCCACCGCCAAAACACTGGAGAGCCCCGTCGACGGCGCTCCAGCTGGGCCCTGGAGATGGGGGTTCTTCTGAATTTCCTGAGTCGATGCAGTCCACCAGCATGCACCAGTGAACACCGTGAATCTAAGACCTAATCATGCAGTGTCCCCCAAACTTGAGAAGGTCCCAAAAAAACTTGAGGAGAAGAGAAGAGCATGCCTGCCAAACAAACAGAACACATCGTAGTAAATCTGGTTCTATGGTGTTCTGTCTAGCAACCTTACTGCTGATTTCACAATACAAAAAGGAGGTTCGAGCCGCCCAAAGAAGCTCCAAGTTCCTCCATACTCAGCTGAGTTTCTTTGTAGATGAGGTTGACCTCAAGGAGCAAAACGGGTGCCGGATGGTGCTGGATGCCCTTTTCTGGTGCTGAAGAAAACCGAACAACCCTTATTTTGAAATTTGCTAAGGATTTTGCGCTTACCAAATCATCAAATTTTCAATTGGTCTTGGACTTCCAGGAGGGTAGATTCTGCACTTCCTGAGCCACCTGGTTCTCGCTCCTCAAGCCCTCATGGCATCTTACAGCAAGGTCGGTGTTGGGAACCCTTAAGAAGCAGGGGTAAAACAAATAAACGAAGAACGCCGGGCCGGAAACTTCGAACACAATCGCTGCCCAGTGGACCAATTGCTCGCCAGCACCCGAGTGGTTGTTCCATCCTTTGTCGCCCAGCAAGGAGAAGCCAAACGTCTCCGGTCTGCGTGGGTCGCCCATGAAACGCTTTGGCTCCATCGCGTTCCCCACGGAGGTCGGAAAGGCTGCGGAGGTGCCGAGTGTGACCGCTGTGGATGGCGAGGTGCCAAAATCAGTTCATTTTGATGTTAGGTCGGTCTATTATTGGAAGAATAATGAGGAATATGATGCATCATTTATGTGTGGCATCTGCATGGGTACATTGATGTCACCACATCATCTTTTACAACGGCCTAGTCAAAACATGTCAAAACCAAATTGGTCAGCGGTCGGGCCTCAGTAGGGGCTCCCAGTGGGCTTCCCCTCTCCTACGCCACACGCCGTGGCGCTACGTGGGCACGAGCCGTGCAAGCCCCCTGGTGCAGGGCTAGGGGTGCCACGACTGATGCACCCACTTGAACCAGAGGTCAGGTCGGGTCAGGTCAGGTTTGTGTGTGTCCATCCCCAGCTGAAAATCACGAACACGTTCGGAAGTTCGCCAGTTCCATGGGGTGGAGAATGGCGCATGGGTTGGGCAGGGTTTCACGCCTGCTCAGCATCTGCCTGGTGCGAAACGCCTTCGAGACCAGCCTGCCCACCATTCCCAGCTATGGCTGAATACCGAATCAACTGAGGATTTTACACTACAAACACCAGGTCAACCATTTGTTTAATGGTCTTGGAAGTCTAGGGACAATAGACGTCCAATTCATTCTATCCCACACCATCCATATATATATATATATATTATGGTATATTTAGACCCATCGACCCCTGAAACCACCCACATCGACCCCTGAAACCACATCGACCCCTGAAACCACTCCAACTGATCGGTAGTCCTATGTCAGTCCCATGGATGGTCTGGGTCTGGGAAAGTCTCACATCACCAAACTCAAACAGTTCAGCTGGTGCCTACCAGGACCTTCAAGAGGTGTCTACAAATAGCCTCTTAGTGGTTAAGGGGTGTCCAGAAACCACCTGTTGGAAGGTGCCTAGGGACTGCACTTGGAATTTCTGGCCAAATGAATGCCACCTCGATTCTGAGGCACAGCCCGCCAGGTTCTTCCAGAGCTTTTCAGTGAGTGGATGGTTCGCACCCCTACTCCCCTACTCTCCCATAGACTTCCCTTTGGAACAGCCCAGGCCCTGTCAACCCGCCGCATCTGGAGCAAAGGGGCGCCCGTTCTCGGTCTTGCATGGCCTTCTCCAGCAGTTGGTGAAGCTCCTGGAGCTGCGCGGCGCGTGTTTTCCACGCGGATCGCTGATCTCAGCGCGGATCGATCTCGAGAAGAACAACTCTTTTGATCCGATAGCTCGAGAAGAACTCTTTGTCTTCTGGTTGAAAGGCTCGGAAGGAGGATGTGGTCTTTTCATGTCGTTTCTCATATTCTCCAAACATCTCCAAACGAGGAATGTTTTAAATTCTCAGGATCGATGTTGAAATGGAGACTCTAGGAAACACAGACCCACAAAATGGAACTCAGGACACTAACAGACGCGATGGTGCACCTCAGGTTCTTTGAACTCAAGTGATCTATGAGACCTGTGTTTGAAATATATCCCAAACACTCCATGGGACTGCCATACATATACAGTCTCATTAGTCGTGTATGGGTATAGAGACTCACAGTGGTGACTCCACGAGAATCGACACCACGAGTTTCCGTCTTTTCTTTTAGTCCTTACATGTCCCCGCAGCTCACATGAGCTAACATGGAAGTGGACAATTTGATGAATGGCCCTTTGCAAGGCCCTGATTCCGAATACCAAAGATCCAAGAGAGGTTAAGTGACCTTATAGGACCTACTGGGGTACCTATGGGATAGTCGAACTAGGGTTCTTCAACCTCTGTTGGAGGTGTTCCACTTCCATGTGAGTTCCAGGGAGGGTGCTATTGAAATGAGTGGATCTTCTGAGCACCTCGGGGTGCCTCGTGCACGCTCCACCCCGGGCCTCGACATGACGCACACGACCTAATCTTCCTTTTACTCATGACCTCGTGACCTTCCGGAGTGTTCTCGTGCCCCGCATGATTCCAGAGGTTGAAAAACCCGAACTAGACTATCCCATCTGGGTGCCCTACTATGTAGGGTCCTAGTTCAGGTCACTGGCTACCTCTCTTGGTTGTTCCAGATCGCATTGACCCCATGGAAGTTGATACCAAAGCAGTGAGATGGAATCAGACCAGACCTTTGAAACGAAACGACAAGGTCGGAAGGAGAAGAGTGACATGTAAGGTGCCCCCAGCGTCACATACGGTGCCCCCAACTGCATGGGCCTCCAAACCCACCTAGAACATGCAACTTCCATGTCTGTTGAACTGTTGACCTCTGAGAAGGGGTATGCTGCTCTTATCCTCTATTCAGCCGACTCTAAGGAACTCCTGATGGGTTTGCTGAACCAAGAAGAGATGTCAATCAAACATTCACCACGATCAGGGAACCTACAGAGGTTAAGTGACCTTGTAGGATCCTACAGGAGTACCTATAGGATAGTCCATAGGGTTCTTCAACCTCTGCTGGAAGTCCCCCATATAATATGATATACCGTAAGGAGAAAATAGCACATCACCCTAAGCAAAACCATGGTGGACACTCCATGGGACTGGTATACATGCCGATCAATGGACCCCCGAAACCACCCCAATGTGTGTAAATGTGCCGTACATGGAGTGTTTGGGCATGATAAACAAGACTGCTTGAATTCGGTGCCTCGCGGCGAATGCGTGACTTCGCCGCGTTCGCCCCCGCCCCCAGGCCTCCACCGAGCGATTCACTCGCTGCAAGCGCAGTGCCTTCTCGAGCGCCTCGGGTTTTGGACGAAGGCGAAAAGAGGCGCAAAAAAGACCACGTGGGGAGCGTTTGATTTGAAGGGTGTTCAGGGGGGCCGGGGGATTCCTGGCCCGTCATTACCATCAGCAATTCAATGTCGATGGCACAAGTTACGCCAAGTTGGGTGGTTTTATCCAACGCCTGGAGGAGACTCAAGAGATGCTTTTGTATGAAAAAGGGCGTGTAAGTACCAAAAGTGTGCTTCTAGTTGTTTTGGATGGTTTATAGGGAATTCTGGACAAGAATGTGTCCTTCTCTTCCGATCTATAACGTACGTGTGTGTGGCATTTCTATCTCAGCGGAACGCAACATGCTTTATTGCTAAATGTTGAACAGTTGAAACATGTTGAAACCAAACGGTCGCATGGCGTCCAAATCGGGCAAGCCTAAGGTTCCACCAGGGTGGCCACACAGCCCGCAGCCACGCCGAGCCTACCTAGTCTTGGAACAAACATCAGACTGGAGAAAGGTGCCAAATTGATCAAATTGGTGGATGTTCTCTCCAATCACCAAAATGTCCGACACCTAAATACGCCCCAAAGACCTTCCCAGCCTCTCCCCCGGACGCCAGATCCCGCAGCCATTCCGACCCATCCCAGCCTCATCTCGCTCCCGCATGGTGGTACTTAGGAGCGTCCTTTCGCCCCGCGCATGCCACAGTGGAGGGGCGGATGCGACTGCTTCAGTGGCACGTCTCCCCCGACCAAAATTGATCTATAAGATTCTGTAAGGTGAAAATCGGCCGGAAAGACATGGTTCAATCACCCTTAGACCATCTTATAATACATCTTATATCATGGCTTTAAACCCGGTTTCCTGTAGGCCTTCCCTGCCTTCAACCTATACCGAACTTGGTTGCAACTTGGTTACACTTGGTTGTGAGCCATAGTTAAAGGCTAAGTATGATTGATTTGTCAACCTGCTAGCTCCTTAGCCTTTACTCGTCTGGATGTACTGGGCCTGATTCACTTTGAAGAAGATATCCCTACAGGTCAAGGATGTCATTTCACTGTGTCTGGTCATACAGAAACAGTACCCAACGAGGTCAAGGACAAGGTTTTCTTGGTCCTTCGACTGTGACATCTATGTCGGACCACTGCAGCGCAGCACGGCACCTACTGTCCACGCCTCAACCCGTCCATGAGGACTTGCACTGAACCACGCAAAACCCCAACACATCCCACACGATACCCCTCGCCTCAGCGCCATGAGATCCGACTGCTCTCGGGCCTGGAGGGTCACCATTTACAGACCACCTCTGCTGGTAGAGGTGGAGAGGTGGGTCAGAACCCGACGGTTCGACCATCCTAAAGGTACCCCAGGTTTTCCGGGTCGTTCAGATCACTGAGATTTCCTGACAGACTTGTCAAGTGTGGACTGGAGTGACTGTTGCATTGGTACGGCGACGATCGCAGGGCTGCTGCAAGTTTCTCTTTTCAGCAGCCCAAGAGACGTGCTCGTGCCAAGGCCAAATGCGCCAAAAAGGAAAAGGAAAAGAACAAGAAGAAAGAAAAAAAGGATAAGAAGACCAAGTAAAAGACATCCAAGAAGAGGAAAGCGAGCTCTTCATCTTGAAAGAAGATCAGAGTTGGGATAGCCTGGAGGATATCCTGAAACACATGTCCAACTGATATCAACTGATTTGCACTGAGCAGCAGTGAAAGGAAAAAGACAGGCCCAATTGCATGGATCTTATATTACTATCGATGTTCATGTGATTAAACATCTTGAGGATGGTTTCAATGTTGTACAAATCATGTGGTCAAAATCAAAATCATTTTGTAAGGCTTATATATGCTCTAAACCATATCTTGACCACCCCCTAGTAACTCAGCATCCCCAGATTCCGTTGATCCTTGGGAATTGGCCGGCAAGCACGGTCACCTGATCATTCCATCCACCGGACACAACGTCCGGCCATTCGGCCGTCCAGGTTTGGCAGAAAAAACACCGTTAAATCCAATGGTTGGACGCCTTAGGGTATGCTGGACTGGACGTCCCTTTGGAACACTTTCACGCGCCAAAGCCTGAAAAAAAGCGCGAAGAAAAACGCCCGTGAAGAGCGGTTTCGCGGCGGGAGGTGACTGGAACTTGGTGCGACTCAACTGCAAAACACCAAGTGGAGGAACACAACTCAACACAAAGACCATCGCTAACACCTCTCCGTCTCCCCTAGAGAAACACTAAACTACAAAGCACCTGTATGAAGGACAACACGCGCTACAAAAAGGATCGTGCTTTATGTTTTAATGCGCGCCGCAAAAAGTACGAAGAAAACTAAAACAAACTTCAAATTTGTTACCAAAAACAGCCAACAAAATGACGTATAGTCATGTATAGTCATAATAATTAATAGAACGACTCCTGCTTCCCAATGCCTGTTTCAACACATGGACTCATCCCAGGCCACCCTAGGTTTTCCAGTTGTCCTGGCTACCTCGGTCACTGGCTACCTCTCTTAGGTCGCCACCATGAGGACCCCCCACCGGTGTCGCCTCCGCATGAAGTCTCAATCGCTTCGACTCGGGACCCGCTGTCGGACTGAGTCCGGACGCCTGAGCCGGGAGGGGACGAGGAGGACCACGACGGGACCCGGCGACGGGGGTGGTGAACGGAGACCCCAAATCACCTGTCAGGATCGTTTTGGCCTGTACAGACACCCTGCCGGGGGGGCCCTGGTCGGGTTCCAGCAGAGATAGGTCAGAACCCTATAGTTCGACTATCCTATAGGTACTCCTCTAGGGTCCTATTTACGGTCACTGGCTACCTCTGTAGGGTTTTCCGGGAACCGGTTCAGAGCCCAACCTCGTGCGAGCCCAAACCGCGTGCTTCGACCGTGTGAGCTGAGCTGGCCGCGGCCGCTGTCCCACCTTCGAGTTTGCGGACCTTAGCTGGGAGAGGTCCAGCGCCTGGATGCTGTGCTACCTACCTGGGAACAACCGGAAATCAGGTCTGGTTAGTCTGGTTGTTCCAAGATGGCGATCCTTTATAGGAAATGGCTGGGACTGGGGAAGCAACCATCTCTTTCTGGTTGTTTGGGTTTCCAGGTGGAACTTCCAACTGTGACACATTATATTGCATAACAGCCAAGTTCGGCAGAAATTGGAAGCAAGATGCAGGTATATGCTTTTCGGATCTTTTCGGTTGACTCATCCCGTAAGTGAATGTACTGTGCTAATCTGTGTTATGTGTTTCGTTTTGAAGGAATGGAAGGCACCGCTGTCCATGGAACGTCTGGTGCTCATGGCATTGCAGCTTCACCATGGCTTTGGAGCTTCACCAGGATCATCCTGTCTGGGTGTCCTGGCTAGACTAGCCTACCCTACTCACTTATTATTCTCCAGACAGGGCACCCAAACAGGAAGTGCTAGGGTTCAGCTTTGGTCCATGAAACTTGGACACAGCCGCTCACCGGTGGTGATGTGGCGAAATCGCGACACATCGCAAGCTGCCAGGCCGAGGGAAACCCCAAAAATCTGTCAGGGCTTCTGCCAGGTTGGTCAAAACTCAATGCAAAGAATGACTGGAGAGAATGAACAGAATAGAATCCAAGAGAGGTAGCCAGTGACCGTACATAGGACCCGGAAAACCTGGGGTACCTATAGTACCGGATAGTCGAACAGTCGGGTTCTGACCCACCTCGGATAGACTGCTACGAGACGTTGGTCCTTTTCACCTCCGGGTTTGGACCCGCTTATTGTTTCCAATAGCTTCTTGTTACTACTAGTAAGGCACCTGTTACTACTAGCGTGGCACTTGTTACTAGTAGCTTCTTGTTACTACTAGTAATTAAGGCACCTGTTACTACTAGCGTGGCACTTGTTACTACTAGTAGCGTCACTTGACGGCTGATGGCTGTTGAGCAAGCACCGCCCACGGACTCCATGGCGGAATCCCCCGTGGGAACAACCCAAAAAGCGCGGAGCTCTGACGATCACGGACGAAGGAGCCCGATAACGTTCCACTTCGAGCTTGGCTGTTAAGTCCAGGATCTCCTCCCTGAGCTGCAGGTTCCTGAGTGGCGAAAGAATTTGGACTCCCGAGCCGCTTCCCTTAACAAAAAGGCTATAATTAATATATGGGTTGCCCACTGACTGGGTACTAGTGGTGGTGCAGGTATGTGCAGGTATGTGCAGGATGTGACGACCTTCTGGGTGCGTACTCGATTCATCTGGATCCAATCCACACTTCCAGATCTTCCAGCGAGGACATGGGCAAGAAATTCTATCTTCCATCACTTGCATCGACTTCGGGATGAGTTGCCTCACTTCTTCGAACCAATCCCCAGCTGAACCAACCCAATTCTGAACCCAGGTGGCTCAGCTCGTTGTTTGGCACGGTCTGTTTCCACCAGGCCTGAGTGGGCTGGGCTGTGTGGAGGCAAATGGGACATGATGGCCCAATTCCCAGGTGTTTAATCTCCATCCGCTGTGATCTGCGAGGTAGCACAGCGGAACTCTGAAACTACAACAGTCTCCATCAAAAGCATTGAGAATGAAACACACTTCCAACGTTGGGACCACCAAAGGACACCGACACCGCCAAGTCCAACCCTCGGAGTCCGGGACTCAATTCCCAAAAGCGCTGCATGGCGGAGCCAATATGGCTTATGCCATCGCCATTAAAAAACCCGCCAACTTGCCATATGTGCAGTCCGAAAATGCTCGCGGGACTGGGAAGTTCCAATTGAGAAGTTACAAAGCCAGCCAAACACGGCCTTCTCACTGAACTATCAGCAGTCACAAAAACAGCTACTTCCAATTGGTTGCGAGGGAGGATCGGCAGGACAGACCTTCCTCCACTTGGATTTGCTTAAGGAAAGTGGAAAAAAACAACACACTAGTCACCAGAAAGGGGGATTTAACCATAGGAAAAAACACATCGCCTTAAGCAAAACCAGGTCCTGCATGGTCAAAGCCAAGCAAGACGCACCAGTGACAGCTTACGTGCCCGGCGGTGTAACTTCGATGACATCGGTTTCATAGGGACATCCGCCAGCATATCGTCATGCCATGTGTAAGGGCAACTTGACATGCACCTCTGGGAGGTCAAAGACATTCAAAGACTATAAACAGAATGGTCTGACTAGGGGAACTGAGTTCGGGAACTTCCTTTTACTCCAGCCGGTCAAAATATAGTTTTTGGACTTCTAGGGTGCAGCCAAGCATGGCTCGCAATGCCTGTGGACTCCTCCCTTGGTCCGACCAAGCATGGCTCACAACGCTTGGGACTCCATCCGTTCACAGCTGTTGGCCCTGGTTTGGTCGGAAGGCACTGGATCCCTAGGGATCCAAGTACCTTCTCAGAAGGTGATTGGAGGCACTGTTATGTAGGTTAGGGGATATGTTGAGCTGTTGATGCTCTCCTACCCTAGGCTTCCGGTTCGACCATGAAAAGAGTTCGGTACAGACCTGGTGACCTGTAGTGTAAGACCCTTAGTAACACAACTTAGGTGGTTCGGTAAAGCCTAGTAAATCATCCGGGGGGGCATATTGGAATTATACCCCCCCGCAGAGTCTTGGCTCAATTCCCAGCTGGTGATGTATACGTAGGCTTTTGCCCGTAAGTGAAAGTGTCCTTGGGATTTGAGCAAGGCGTGTTTTGTGTTATTCTATGTTATTGTGTTTGTGTTTTCGTTAACGGAATTGTTGCATACTTTTTTGGGCGCGTAAGGTAGAACCTTGACCAAAAACCGCGGAAACGATTCTGGACATATCATCAAGGCCCATGAACTTCGAGCACGGGCCTTCCACCCAGTGACCTCTGAAGAGGATTGGCAGACGTGGCCTGAAATCAAGGGACCTTCCACCCAGTGACCTCAGCCACTGGGATGGTCCTGGAGCATGGACAGGTCCAAACTTCGGAGACTTACTTCAAGATCCGGCTGACCAAGATCAACTATTTGGTCTAAGCTTGTGTCCACCAGAGGTGGCTTTATTTCTAGAAATCAACCAACTTGAAAAAAAAACGGAAACACAAGGCACAACAAAAACAAACCCAAAAAGCACCAGCAAAACAAAGAGCAACCAAGAAAGCAAAAATAACAAACAAAGTCCAACCAAAAGAGCACAAGCAAAACAAAGAGCAACCAAGAAAGCAACAAAAAGCAAAAAAACACAACAAAAAAACACAAGCAACACACAGAGGGTAGTTTGGAGGGGCCGGGTAGGGTTAGACTGGACAAGGGTCTTTTCTGATGCCGGGTCAAGTGTCGCACTTTTGGTCTCTTTTTTTTTCTGGTGCCTGGTCGAAACAAAAAAAACATCGAAAAAAAGCGACCAAAAGTGCGACTTTTTACCCGGCATCGGAGAAAAAAAGGGAAACAAAAAGCGACCCAAAGTGCACCAGAAAGTGGACCCTCCCCCAAAAGTGCGCCAGAACGCGCGCCAGAAGGTGGACCCTTCCAAAAAGTGCGCCAGAAAGCCCGGCTGAGTTGTTCCATTTTTGCTTGCAATTTTGTTTGTTTTTTTGCTTTTATGATTGCTTTTGTTTGTTTGGCTGCAATTTGTGATTGTTATTTTCTCTTTTTTGCTTTTAAATTGCTTGTGTTTTTCTCGTTGCATTTTGTGATTGCTTTATTTTGCGTTTGTTTTTGCTCTTTTCAAGATGATAAACTTCTAGAATATATAAGGTCTGGCAGACAGAAGTCTAAGCTTTATCAAGATCACTTGGACTTCCAACACCACCCGGCCGTTCGTCCAGGTCCCGCGGCAGATCTTCTTCTGCTCCACTTCGATGGACCCCAGGCGGCGCTCCACCTGCAGCGCCACGCGCGGAGCGCCACGCGCGGAGCGCCACGCGCGGAGCGCCACGCGCTGACCGGTCTTGGTGAAACAAAGGAAGACCGGGTGCGGAAGTCTGGGAAGTCTGGGAAGAACAGATTCAACATCTGAAGTCTGGGTGTCAGGGGAGAAAAAGAAACAGGCCGGGTTCAGAAAGGAAGAAATCACACATCATCTCATCCGCAGATCATCTGATCCAAGGGTTTTGTTGGTTCTTCCACGTTTCGGGCCACGTTTCGCCCGACTGGGCCGGGAGTTTCGATTGAGACTGAGACGGACCGACGGGCATGGACACCGCCAAGTCGGTGATATGTGTGGTTTGTCAGTGTTTACTGTAGTACTTTTGATGGTTTTTGTTAGGGTAGTCAAGGGTGGAGATCAAACGAATGATCAGTAGATATCAGTAGGCGCCTACTGGATGGCGAAGTATGGCGAAGTATCCACCTCTGTGGTAGCATTTTCTTTGGCCGGCCAAACCACCCCTTAAACTACATGACCATGAAAATACTGTACTATACAGACTGTACACATATTATATAATATTTATGTATCATACTATTGCTGCTGCTAGATGGCATGACCACCCGGTGGGGGTCCTTATGAAGTTGGAAGTTACACTCCCTGGAACTGACATGGAAGTGGACAACTGTTTGTAGAGGACAATTACTTTCCTTCCGGGGCCATGCCACGTAACCAGGACAAGGGGCAGGGAGTGTAAACTCAGCCACTTTCCCAGTCCACACCTCCGCCAACGAATCTTCTGCTTCTTGTCGCAGGCGCTTCTGCACCTGCGACTGCGTTTCACAAAAACGATGATGAATGATGTTGACCGCTGATTAATGTTGATGAACAAAGCACCTGATATATATATATATATGGAGATGTGACAAACCTGGAAAAAACAACACATCTGGTAGTTGTTTGGTGTTTTGTTAATTTAATCAGTTCGAATCAATAAAAGGCCAATCAAGACATCACCCCGGAGATTCGCTGTTGGACCGTCCTTGTTCGCTGAAAGAAAGGACGGTCGTCTAACCAGCTGAAATTTGGAAAGAAACGTCTGAAAATCATCCATGAACTGGTCCAAGGGAAGAATCAACCAAGAGAGGTTCAGTGACCTAACAACCTTTTTGCATAGCCGAGTCATTATGGTATGATCCTTTTGTTTAACGTTGATTTCAGTTTATAGGACCCTACTATAGGGCACCTATGGAATAGTCTATAGGGTTCTTCAAGACTTCAAACCTATGGTTTTCCTTTTGTGAACATGTGTTTCTTCGCCCAATTCCCCCCTCTTCCACCAGGGTTCTTCTTCACCTGCACCTCGCAGTCCTCGTCCCTCCCCCGGCGCCTGAACCTCGTCCTCCAGGTCCATGCGCCCTCGGCCATCGGGTGTGCGACTGGACATCGAGTGGGGAAGATGTTTGCAACATGATCCAACCATCGACCGCATCGACTCGGCTCGACCAATCGATCCGTTTTGGTGACCGAACCTCAGGTTCGGTACGACTGGACCCGACGTTTTGGCACCTACATAACAGTGCCTCCAATCAAGAAGGTACTTGGATCCCTAGGGATTAAAAACAACTGTGTTTTCATGTGTTTTTTGCGATATCGATGATGTTGGTGGTTTTCGAAGATGCGGGTCACAGTGCACACACCAGCGCACGGTGTCGAGCGCACTTTTTGGCTCGGCTATGGCTTGAGGCCCTTGATGCTGGCAAGCTCCAAGCGGAAGTCACCTGAAAGCTTGGATTTGCTGTCCAGTATCCCTGGAGAAAAAGATCTACCCCCCGGGAAAAGTCAAAACCAAAAAACCGCCCAATCCCGGGAAGCCACCTGAGGGTGATCCAATATTCACCGGTGTTTTCTTTCGGGCGCGGCCAAGATCTTCGCGTCCGTGAGGGTTTCACGGAGTTTCGTAGCCGTTTTGTAGTAAAGGCCCCCGATGAACTGATTCAACGACTCTCAGAAGCTCGGGCAACTGGAAATCTCTCGCCCGAATTTTGGGGACGAATGCGGTTGTTTCACTGGTTTCCCCGAGGGGGGTCGGTGTGGTGCGTCACTATGCCCTAGCGCTCCTGGCCCACCTCCTGAGAAGGTAGGTGCCAGGGGGGGGTCTAACCACCGAACCTGAGATGGGCCAGGAGCCCTAGGGATCATCAATTGGGGCCTGGGTTGGCCTCTTTGTCTGTGGGGGAAGGGGAGGGTGCTGAAACTATATGCAAATATGTAGCCAGTATTGCCATATGCAAAAAATGAAAAGGAAACTATTTCCAAAATATGTGGAAACTATGTGTAAACAAAGTGCCAGCTAAAGTGGCTATATAGAATGGGACAGGGACAGAGATTGAAAGGGAAATCGTCAGAATTGAAACATAGTCCCAGTGCAAAATTGGCAGCGGCAAAAGTGCAAGTCCTGTACGCGCTTTTTGGCAGCCCCTCTGCCTTGACTTGTCCATATTGTCGTGTCCTATCGCTGCCTGCTGGAATGCCAACAGGCTGCAAGCAAAGATCTACCTGTCTAAGATCTTTCAAGATCTCAAAAGTTTCCCAACCAGCACGTTTACTTCTTCTGTTTCTTGGCTCCGCTCTTTGCACTGGCTTTGCCATTGCTAGACGGATCCGACTTTGCTGAAGGCGCGCGCTTTTGAGGGCCCTCCGAAACCTTTGGATCTGGCGCTTCACTTTGACGCCTGCGCTTCTGCTTTGCTGAATCAGCATTCTGTGGCACTTCAGACCTGAAAGCCCCAGGTCCCAAGGCCCAAAAAATCAAGTCTCTCAAAGTTCCACGAAAGTTCAACGAATCGGGCGACACCATCTGATTTAGAAAAACAAGCAAACACGAAGAAATTACCAAACTACTGGTTGGTACTCCAGCTGACTCCAACTCTAAGTGAAGTCTAGGGGCGGAGCAGCAGCAACCAAGTCATCAAATTTGGCCATGAGGAGCGGAGTCAGGTCGTGCTTGCTCAATCCAAGCTTCCTGCTGATGAAGCTGCAAACTTGTCTGGAAGATGCCAGCTTGTCAGGGTACTTGTCAGGATTGATCACCACTTCCATTGCCATCATTGTCGAGACAACCTGCGCACTCACGACGTTGAGCTCCTGCGAAGGTCGCTCAGCTGGATCATGGCCAGTGGACTGGACATTCGATGAATGGCTGCATTCAAATGACTCAAACAACAACAAAACAAACACGTGAATGGCAATTGGCAATTGGCAATGTGCAACCTGGAATCTGGAACAGCCCGCTTCAAAGCAGGCCTGTCCTCAATCTTCTCCTGCAATGCCAAAACCTGCTCAACCAGTTCCAGCAGCTTTGCATCGTTCCTGAAACTGGACTTGCACGAAGTGATGCCCTTCATTGCCCCAAGGTGCTGAGGTAGCTGGTCTCTGAGGCTTACAATGACCTTGGTCTCCTTGTCTACTGCGGCATCCCCAGCAAACATCCAAGACAGCTCGGCGATCTTCTCCGGCTGCCACATCTCTGCTGCACTAAGCACTGGCCTAGAATTGCTTCAGAGAAAATACACTCCGACTGTCCGACTCGAGATAGTCGAAAAGGCCGGCAGATTTCTTTTGAGATTATGATATGGATTTTGCACGCATCTGAAGCAGTAAAGTAGCAAGTAAGTTATAGTTATAGTCTATAGATATGATATCATGGTCTATGGTCTAATCTAGGGTCAGAGTCATATGATATGATTCAGCATAGCAATGCTGGATCTGGGTAACAACAACTTAGTACTTCTTTCTTCAACTTCCTCAAAGTCTGAATGTAATCTGAATGCAAGTGGCTTGTAACGCAAGACCAGCTTTTCCCATGTTGCTGCATCCTTCTCGATGTCCCCGATGATCGTGTCCAGTGCTTTTTTCACCTGATCCAAGTACAGCACAATCTTTGACTTCGCATCCGGCTTGAGTGCTTCGAGGATCTCCATGTCATAGCCAACAGCCTTGACGATTGCGGAGACATCCTTGCAAACCTGCACCAAGTCTTTTGGGGCCTCCATGCTGGCATAGGCATCAAGGTTTCCCAAGTCCTCCAAAATCGACTTGATGTGAGGAAGGCGGCCGCTCAAGCCCTCCAAGCCTGCCAGTAGGCACTGTGCAGTCTTCACGCTCTCTTCCGTCTGTTCTTGGAGAATCTTGGTCACAATGCCCGGTCCTTTCTGAGTCACCAGTTGCTGTAATCTCTGACTAGCACGGACACATGGACTCGCCCATTGCCCATTCTGGAACACTGACATCTTGGCCACCCGCAAGTCATCATGGATGCCTTTGCCCAAAATCCAGGCAGCCCGCAAGGAGGGTTCAGATTCATCATCATTGTTCAAAAAAGCTTCGACTTTCTCAATGGTCCAAAGCATGCGCAAGTTCGTCTCTGGCTCCTCCTTCAAGACAGAAGTGCAAACGCGGCCTGTCCGATGTGACAATAACATTTCATTCAATGACATCAATAATTAATGACAAATGCTAACAGTAAGAACAATGTCAATTCTCAATGGTTCGGTTCACTCAGCACTCAGCACAGATCACTCTGCGAGTCCACCCTAATTAGTTACAGTTACAACCAACTGAGTCAGTGAGCCAGTCGAAAAAGAAATGGAACAAATCTTGTAAGGGTCGGTCGGTCAGTTGCCTAAAAGGTTGCTTGCCCTGGCCTCGGATCTTCAAAGATGAGGTGAGGGCCCTGAAGTTATCCTTCTCCACAGCATCAAAGCCAGTTGTTTCTGGTACCAAAAGCCATTGCTTTGCAAACCAGTCTCCGAGCTTGGTCATGGAATCAACCCCAAACTGTTTCATTGTCTCTTTCAAGTCGTTGAGGGCCTGGCCAAGCTCAGGGACGCCACCCTCCTTCGAAGCCAACGTGGCTGTAATGTCAAGAAGGTCTTTGCACCCGTCGACCATCGCAAGGAATTCGTCTGATGGCGTGCATTCAGAAGAACCCAGGAACGCATTGAGCTTCCTTGCATTGTCCAGCACTGATGATGAAATTTCCGCTGCCTTTTTCTCTGAGAGCACATTCTTTGAGACAGTCGTGGCACTCTCCCAAAGCTTCCTGCGGGTTGGGTCTCGTCGCTAGCACAAAATGTAATATACAAAAAACTGATAGATATGATAGATAATATATTTTAATATAATATAATATAACATAACATATCTTATAATAATGATGATTTATGTTTTTGTTGATTATTTATGTAAAAGAAACCGTGGGCCGTGGGTCTATATTTGAAAAACCAAAAAACATCTTGAAGAAGTGTTCTTTAATAATCTAGCCACTAGTAGAGTCTAATTGGCTAATTGGAGTCTGATTGGACAAGTCGGCAGTTGGCAAAGGGAACAGGGAATCGGAATGCGAATTCGGGAGCTGTTGGAAACTTACAAGGTCAGACTGAGACTAAATAAGAATAGACCGTGGAAGAAAAACTATAGTAAACCCTGGACAGCATCGGCCGGGATCGGGCGCATCGGGTGCCAGATTCAGTGAGCAATGTTGCATCAATCAATTCACTGTCCAATTATTCTGAAATCCAAAAAAAAGTTCAAATGATTGATCCGAAGTGCAGCACAAAAACAAATAATTGTCTAAGCGAGCCGTCCTGAGAAGTGCATTGCTTCGAAAAGTCAGGTTCATCTTGGCAGAGAACTGGCCCGGCTGGGAAATTGCCATCTTGATGTCCCCCTTCTCCTCTGGGCGCAGGTGCTCAGCCGAGGTGGAATCCGAAGTAGCCAACATCGTGCTGCAAACTGCAAGCTTCTGGAAGTCCATCAGGACTCGCAACCCAAGGCCAGAGGCATTCTGGAACTCCACACCCTCTGCATCTTCACACTGAAGAGAATTGGTACGGTACTTGTCTTCAGCAACTTGGATCCTGGTATTGCGGCATCGGTATCGGCATTTTTATCACACCACTAAGCACTCACCAAAGTGACAGAAGTCCAAAGTCAAAGGCTTTGCTTTACTGCTTTACTGAGTCAATTTCAATTGAAAATTCACTCCGTTGCACCGACTACCCTGTGCTTTTTGCCTTCCAATTATCCCATTCATTCTTTCCACCCCATGTTTGGACTTTAAGTTCTGGAACATGAAGCCACTACTGCTACTTATTAGTTAGTTAGTCGCTACTACTGCTACTACTACTACTGCCCATTTGAGTTGACATCATGATGTGACTTGGTTTGATGTGATACTACCAGCATCAGCGTCACGTCATCGTCCTTGTTTAGTCTAGAGTCTAGAGTCTACAGTCTAATACTGTCTACTGTGAAAGAACACCAGTAGACTACTTAGACTTAGTGGGCGCCAACAACAAGACCAACCGATCCATTTTGATCCATGAACCCCCTGACGTCCTCAACAAGTGTGGCTGCTTGAACTCGTCTGGGATGTGGCTCAGCAAAGGCTGCGAAGCCTCTTCAGGCATAGTCCGCAACCTGTCCAGCCAACTGTTGAAGATGGACAACTGCAATTCCAAGAAGAAACTCTCGTCCAACGCTTTGTTGTCGAAGGTCTTGGCAGCAGCACAAATTTTGCCAAAGGAGAGGATGCTGAAGGACTTGAACTGCTGCAGCTCAACCATCGAGATGAACTGGTAAAGTGCTGAACGGTAGCCATCTGTCATTGGTGCTGCGATGACAGAAGCCTTCAGGTAGAGAAATGTCACCGAATTAGTGAGTGAATTCTGATCGAATGACAGAAATTGAACCCAACTCAAACCCTAGATTGCCACATTTTATTCCTGGAAATTGGATCCGTCATTGAAAAGTAACTTTAAAACCTTCACACTGACTCACTGTGATGCTGATTGGTTTGATGCGTCCTACAACCCTTGCCTCTGCATATAGCCTTCCCAGCTCGCAGATCGCAAGCTTGACACACTCTGGCGGATATTTTCCAAGTAGTTTCGCAATCTTGCCCTCGTTCTCGGCAATGTAGTTCATGAAGTCAAGAACATCTGACACTTCATCTAGAGAGCTAGGCTTCAGGTTGTTGATCAAGTTGGTCCAATTGTCCAAATCCTTGGTGCACTTGCAAAGCTCCTTGAGGACACTCTGGCAGGCATCTGTTTGCTCAGCCGCTTTGAGCCCCTCGATGAATAGAACGGCCTTGTTCAACTTGACATCGCAGTCCTTGAGCTTGGACTGGCTTTGCCACACAAGCAAGGGGTTCACTTGCTTCAAAGTCTGGAGCATGGCGTTGGATTGAGAAATCAGCTTGTCCAGAGTCTTCGGGACAGTGGTTGGAACCCTGGCTGGATTCTTCGGTGGAGGCATGCTCTCAACAGCCTGCTGCTTGGGAACAGTCTTGGAAGCTTCCTCCTCCTGCTTCTCCCTCTGCCGTTTCTGGGCACCCCCAGTCCGACCTGGTTTCGGTTTGGGCTTTTCCTGCACCTTGGGCACGCCCCAGTTGTCTTCATCCGAACTACCCTTCTCATCTTCATCGTCATCCACCACAGGTTCAGCCTCTTCTTCCTCTTCACGATCAGCTAGGGCTGCAGCCTCCTCGTCCTGCACTGCAAAGTCTCAGTCTTACTTAGTTGCACCGTTGCACCCCTAAAAAATCCAAAAAGAAAACAGTCCCGTGGCTCATGACTCTTATCATCATATCATATCCATATCACATATCTCATATCCATACCTATCACAACATACCTATCACAAACTCTCAACTTGGTTTGGTAACGTCGACCCGGACCCTGAGCGCAACCATTCAATTGAACTTTGGACTTTAGACTTCTCCTTTGTTTGAGCCTGGATCTTCAACTTCTCTGCATCCTCTTGCTGCACAGCGTCCATGGAAGCCCTGTCTGCATGCTCTGATTGCGTCGTCTTAGAGGCAGAGAGGCGATGCCCCAGAAGGACTTTCTTCGGCCCATCAAGCACCACAACGCCCTCGACGCCTCGCTCGTCCTGAGAAGAGAACGGATTTGAAGACAGCACAGAGAAGAATTGCTGGCATCGGCGTAAGTGATGAGTCTGATGATGAGTCGTCGAGTCGTATTTTAAATCATTAATTTTTCAAATGATCCATTCAGTCAGTCAGTCCATCATCCCGCATCCCGCATCCCTCAAAAAGTCAGACTACTACCGTCACTACCTTTGAACCCCCCTGGCCCCTGACTAAAAGTTGTGAATAGTGCCAAGATTCAGGTTGAATGAGCAAGCCTAGCTTCTGAAGGTATCCCTTTTGCTGGGCATGGGACTTAAGCTTTTTCTTGCTCTCGTCATCCGCTACCTTCTTGAAGTACTCTTTGAGCTCATACCAACTGCCTTCCTGCATGTAGCCAAGGACGAAAACAAAATTGGAAACAGCTCCTCCATCAGAAAACCTCAATTCTTTCCGTATCAAATCCCATATATGGATTTGGATTCTTGCTGATCTAGTGCCTAGTTGGTAAACCTTAGTCTGACTATGACGACTGAGTCCGACTGACTATATAAATGGCTCGGACTCTGACTGTTCATTGCCGACCCGGCTCAGTAAAACAACCCAACCAGACCCGAATCCTGCCTGCCGAAAGTCGACATAATCGCTTGATTTCCGAGTCGTATACAGCTTGTGGTCCACGATTTCATGGCGTGGCTTGGAGCGCGGGTTGCGGCACAATGCCACAACCAGTTTGCGCCTCAAGGCTGCAATCCTGAGATATGACATGGGATCCGGGGTTTGTTCGGGTCATCGGGCCGGTCAAAAAGTGAGTCGAGTCAAAACTAAAACTTGAAAAATCTGTATGAGTGTGTTTGTTCGGTGGTGGTAGTAGAGTCTGAGTCTGAGCCTGTTTACACATGGCCCCATGGCCCATTACACTGTACAGTACACCATTAACACATCCCGCCCAACACACAAACTGCATCCAACCAAGAGCAAAAAATCTGGTACAGACTGGCGGCTTGTCTGAGAGCGGACGGCATTTGCGCTTCAGTTTGATGAACTCAGCAGCAGTCATGCTTTTGAACGAGCCACGCTTCACGTACGTGCACTTCAGGCAAAGGACAAGAGCCGACATGGAAATGTCCTGTTTCGCAGTGGATACCATCATCGTGTGCCCTGGCAAAGCGTCCTGAAGGGAACACAACACGAACCGTCCCTGGACCCTTACAAAAGCACGAAAGTTACAAAGTCAAAAAGAAACCTTTGTAAGAGCACCTTCTGAGCCTTTTGCTTTCAGTAGTTGCTTGCTGAGCGTTTGAATCTTGAAGCGCTTGGAATGAAACAAGACTTGGAAACTCCGTGTTGGACAGTTTGCCTACCTTGTCTGGCTCTCCAAACTTCTGCTCGCAGCTTGGGCAGCAACCTGGATCGCAGTGGATGTCGCCTTCATCCTCGCTGCCACCTTCACAGCCCTCACGCTCACTATGCTCGGGCATCTCCGGTTGGCCTGATCCAAGGGGAACACCGGCTGCCTCAGCGGGAGCCTCCATGTCTTCGTCGATGTTTGGAATGGTCGGCATGGCCAGCGCACGTGTCGTAGAAGAAGTCACGTCACTGGAGGTCACGTCACAAAAAAGTCACTAGTGGATACTAGTGGACTCGCCCTCGCGTTCAAATCCCTGCAAGTTAAGCCAAACAAACCGGCAACCGAACCAAACAAGGCAGTCCAACAGACAAGTTACAGTTAAACTAAACAAAGCTAGTGTGTGACAGTGTGTGTGTGTGTGTGTGAATTTAATGTTAACGTAACATTGAGCATCAACCGGGCCCCTTCACCCTTCTTTGCAGCAACTGAAAGAACTGGAACTGAAAGAACAACTACAATGACTCACTCGACAATGAATGCAATGCAATGCAGTGTGCAAAAACAAAATTTCTGCCAAGCTCCGAGTGTTCAAGCGGGTTCTTCTACTCTTGAAAGTGCCGTCAGTCATGAGTCATGAGACTGGCTGACCTGGACCAAACTAAAGCAGCAAAGCCTCTCTGCTCCAACAATTGGTCAAATCAGGTCAAATCTAATCTGAATTAATGCCGCAAATTTCCGGTTTCGTGCAGCAAGAGCCAAGCATGCTACAAAACCGTGTCCACCGCATCCTGCTGAATCAAACATGACAGAGATCTGAGGCGCTGGGGAAACCTAACAGAACCATCATCATCAGAGTCGTCCAAAAGGGCCCTTCGCGAGGACAAGGGCTTGCCATTCAGTGGCAATCTGGGAAAAGAGTCGAACGAAAGCGGTTCTGCTGCAGGACTGGTTGGTGAGCTCAGAATGGACCACTCTGAATCGCCCACAGGGAAATCTTCATCTGTGAGGAACTCGCTCAAAAGTTCTGGAGGCCGCCTCCCGGTTTTGAATGGAATCAAAATTGCTAGGAGTGTTGTGACCACTGCTCCTGCTACAGGCACTGACCAGCTGTCACCTCAGATTGTAGCAGCAGTGGCCACACTCCTGCCGTTGCCAGAAAAATTCTAGCTTTTTGCTTACCTGTTACCAGTTAGTAGTAGTAGTAGTAGTAGTAGTAGTAGTATAGTTGTTGTTGTTGTTGTAGTGGTGAGTCACGAGTGAGTGGTGAGTAGTAACATTTAACAACTACAACCGGTTGACCCAGACTTGATCTGACTGAGAGCCAGAGTGAGAGCCTCTTGACAACCCTGGCCCTCGACCCGGGGCAAACATTCACAATAGGGCCTGGCACCGCACCTTCATCGATCCATTTCTCATGTGTAATGAAAGGACTAACAAAACTAACAAGAGAGAGACTTCCTTACAATACCAACTAAACCGACCGACACGGATCCAGACTGGGGCCAAGATTCCTGCTAGAGCTGCCATGTCGTGGTATTTCATGCCATCCAGACACACCTTCTCCACAGGGAACCCTTGCAGTGTCAAAAGATCCTTGGGGGATCACAGCACAGCGCAGCACGCGCAGAATGGAGCAGTGCTGCAGTATTTCTTGATGACTTAGTGACTCAGTGTGATTGTTCCGGCAACCCGCCAACAAACATCCTCGATGCATTCAGGAGTCTTCCCCAGACAAAAATGATTGGCTCTGAAAGTCCCAGATCTTTACAAATCTTGTTAGGGCGCTCGTCCTGCCAAATTTTCCAATGTGCCTTCTGCCAATGCTTCCTTGGTTAGGTTTGCTGATTTGCTGTTGGGGGTTCATCTGAACAGAAGGAAAGTAATTTGAATAACATTGAATCGAAGCAAGCACTAACTAACACAGCACAATTCAAATTCGGATGTGAGTTGAATGCTTCAGACTGAGTCTAACCCAGTCAAATGGAACGTGCCAGCAGGTTGCTGGCCACATCGACGTTGCACTGAGCAATTTCTGGATGAATCCCACTTGCCTTGGCGGTGGTTTGGTGGTCTGGTCAGCGAAAATCTTGCAGTAGTCCAGTGTCCAATTACAGTGACGAAGAAGAAGCAGTGAAGCCGTGAAGCTAAATATAGTTTTTGTGTTTGCCAAAGTGTTGCTATTTGCAAATTGCCAAATTGCCAAACGTCAAAACAGTATTAGTCTATTGAATGTTTGATATCGGGTATCCTGTAGTTGGTGCCTTCCGAAAATGGTTACGTAGTTGAAGTTGGTTAGTTGGTAATTGTAATTGGTATTTAGTATTTTGTAGTTAGTAAAAAATGAGTCGATCATATTATTGTTAAATTGTTATTTATTTATTATCATATTTATTATCATATCAATCCTGGCCATCGATTTCAACACTCAACGCTCAGCACTGGAACGGTGACAAAACAGTCGTAGCGCTCATACCACGGACTAGTTACTACTTATTAACTTGAGTTAGTAAGAAGACCCATGATACAGTCACTATACTACTAGTAATACTTAGTTTTTACATAGTTTACTTAGTTTTTAGACACAAAGCACAGCAGGCACAAGCAACGTGGACAGCACAGGCAACGCTGGTAACGCGGGCAACGCAGGCAACGCAAGCAACAGGCGGAATCAAGAACATCAAGGGAAAGCGGTCCAACCGGAATCAAGAGAGGGCGTACTGCTGTGCTACCTACCCAACACAAGCTGCTGGTCCTCATCCTAATCCTACTCCTTTCCTCATCCTGGCTCATCCTCGTCCTCGTTCCAGATTGCAAAACCGCACAAGTCAAGTGCAAGAGCATCGATGGCATTTTCATGCCTTGTTTTAAGTGTAGTTCTCTTTGTTTTGTGGTAGCATAGGTCAACATCGCAGTACTAGTAATGTAATGTAACACGGAAATTGACGTGACTAGTAACTAGACTATTTAACTATGACTATGACTATGACTCGACTATAGACTATAGACTATAACTTACAGTAAAACTAAACTAAAAAAATATTAGAACACTAACTCTAACTATGAATAAATCAACACATAGCTACTAACATCACATTACTTTACAAAACTTTTGACATATCATAGCCTTTTGCCTTTTGTAGCATTTTAACATACGTTGCAGAACTTGACATGACATCACAAAACAAACATAACATTGACAGGATTTTTGATTCATTCATTATTCTTAAACAGAAACAGACCGTACAAATATAGTTTTATAGTAACATGTTATGTTATGTTATGTTAAGTTAAGTTAAGTTATGTATGTGTTTTTATATGTTTTTATCATCAAATCATATACCATGTTCTGAAGCGGCTCCAAGCGGTTTCGGACTATTTGCTAGCAAGTAGTTCGAAGCGGTTTCAAGCGGTTTGGGACTACTTGCTAGCAAGTAGTTCGAAGCGGTTTCAA